CAAACTCACGTCTGAGAGACGTTGCTGACACCAATGGCAACTGTGATGTCCACAATGATGTGGATATGGGTGATGGTGATGGTGATGTGGAAATGGAAAAAGTGTGTGAAGGTGCATCTTCGCCGTTTCCCACAGCCGAACATTCTGAGACAACTGCACCTGCACATCCTACCAGCAAGCCGGAGGTTTCAACTTCTACTGCTGTGGGGTTGCTGTCTGAAAGTGCAGGAAGCCAGCTTGACCTGCCACCTTCAGGCTCAAGCTCCAGCTCTACAGGTCCAGCAGCAGCACCAGTGGCTGCCCCAAAAAAGCTGGAGGAGGCGTTGTTTGTGGATCCTGTGGCAAAGTATGGTTCTTTTTCTTTTTCTGTCAAGCAGGCCCGATCGTCTCCTCCATATGGTGGGGTGGAAGCGTCATGCCGGTGGCACAGAAAGAATGATACCACTGGATGCAAACGCTTTATTCGATTTGTGGAGAACACACAGGAAAGTCGCGAATCTGCCATTGTAGCTTTGAAGCATTGGTGCAACAAAGCTCCTCAGTTCAAGCGACAAAGAGACCATCTCAGAATGCCGCTTGCTGCAGGGGATGTGCCTCCTGCAGATTTGGTGGCAGAGCAAGAGTTAGTTGAAAACCCACCTCCAAGGGTTCGCAGTGATGTTGAGTTGGACGCGGAGGCTGAAAAACAAGCAAAAGAATCTGGGATCATCATTCCTGGAAAGATTGCCAAAAGCAAAGCGAAAGCAAAACCAGAGAAGTCTAGTAAGGGGAAAGCTGCATCATCGAAATGTAAAGCCAAAGCCAAAGGACGTGTTGCCAAGCCTAAAGCTAAGGGTAAGAGTTCTGCCAAGTCTTCTGCCAACAAAGACGCAGACTCCAGTTCGTCTAGCTCCAGTTCGTCTAGCTCTAGTTCGTCTAGCAGCAGTGGCACCGGCATTGGCACAATTTCGTCCTTGCACTTGTCCGCTGCTGAAGAGAATGGCGATGGGAGCGATTAGAGTTTTTGGAAGCAGTCGAGAGGCCTGGAACTGTTCATTTGTTTGTGTGATGGCAATGTCTCTCAGACTATCTCATGTCTGTTGAAACCTTCGCTCAAGCTCTTCTGTGAAGACATCTTATCGGTTGCAGTCAGAAGATCTCTTTTCACCTATGGAGATTTGCTGCCTTTTTTTGAAACCTTACAAACTATGTCTCAGCAAATCTCTTTGAGAAATAGAGTTATTTGGGCCACCTTGCCGCGCCAGGCTGTGGTCGCTATGGGTGGCCAGCCTTGGAGAACACAGTCTTGGGTTGAAAGGCTTGGCGTTGGCTGCCTTGCGTGTTAACTTCACAAAACAGATCCTATACGTTCTGCTGCAAAACCATAGCTGGTTGGCAGGCAAAAAACACTATTGGTGTCATTGCGAACCTGCACCCAAGACTGTTTTTATGCTTCATTGCCACCAGTAAACGGTTCAAATGGCTTCGATAGAAACATATGAAGTAGATAATTCTGCCGAAGTCCTGTTTTGAGCAGAACAAGTCGGGGGCTGGGGGTCGGGGCGTGAGGGGCTGGAGGTTGGGTTCTGTTCTACGTGTTTCGAAGTAAGAAACAGCATCATACACTCTTGAAGCCTTCTGAAAGGGGCGCAAAGCACACCATTTCCATGATTTCCCTGGAACAAGTCCACATTTGATAGATTCGGTTGATGTCTTATGCCATTCATTTGCTTTCATTCCATTTTGCTCCCCAATCGGAGGCTAGATGGTGCAGCCTTGGTGGATCCAAGGGCTCTTTGCAAACCTTTGAGGCGTGTGGGAGGATTACGGCAAGTTTCTGGCCTATCTGAGGTCATTCTCTTGTGTTTTGGCATTTTTTTGTGCAGAAGGTGTGCCAACCTCCCAGGAAAAACGAAATATAATAGCTATGTCTAAATTCCTTGCGTTTTTGGCTCCCAGAAAATAGAAGTGGCCACATGGGCAAATCTGAGCGCCCAAGCATTCCCCAGCCACCGAAAGGGCAATGCCCGCGACACTGCGCGACACGTGCGCGACACATGCGCGACGCGCGCAACACACGCG